TTCAGGCCTTTTTTCTAGTTATAAACAGTTTGGGGCCAGCTGTGGCTGTTTAGTTTTAACTGGAAACTGCTTCTTTAAATTTTGAGGAGATCTGTGCTCATTCATAGTAGAAGCCTCTGAGGGTGGGGCTGGGGTGTCCGCTAGCTCAGGCACCCCTATAATCACCAGAATGGAGGTGCTCAGACAGCAAGAGACTAATGAAAAGATACCAAAAGAAAATAATGTCCACACCTTTATCTCCGCTAGTCTGCCAGTCATCTGTGGCCGCTCCAATACTTTCCCCACTTGGCCTCACCCAAAATGGCGGCTCCTGGAGCAGCTCAGTGTTCTGAACTAGAAAGCAATGGGTTTCTTGCTTCTGGCACAAATTCCCCCAGCTGTAAGCCTTCCTACCTCTTAAATGTTCCTTGTGGTTCCGAGTTCTGGGACCATCCCCTGAGCCTGCTTGTTTGGGTATTCTGTGTTGGTGCTGGTGGAGCTCCTTACTGCACTTCCACCCGATCCACCAGGTTGCTTGTTCTCTCCAACCTCTTTCTTGCCTTATAGTACTAACTAAGAATTGCAACACAATATTGAATAGGAGTGGTGATAAAGAGCATCCTTGTCTGGTTCCTGATCACAAAAGGAATACTTTCAGTTGCTCTCCATTGAGAGTAATGTTGGTTATTGGTTTTTTTGTTGTGGTTGTTGTTGTTTTTCTGAGGGGAGGGGGTCGCTATTGGTTTTATATACATGTTCTTAATTATTCTTAGGAACATTCCTATAATTCCTACTTTATTGAGTCTTTTTATCAAGAATGGATGTTGGGGCACTTCCAGCGCTTCCTTGACCAGGCAGCACAGGTGCGCGGGCTCCGGGAAGATGTGGGTGGTATCGCACAGGGGAGGCCCCCACCTGGTAGACAGACAGCCTTTGGGCAAACGTTAAGACTTTAGCCTTCAACATTATGGACTTGCTCTTTTGAAGGCTCAAGGTGCTGGGGAGTTGTGGACATTTTGAGCTTCTGCCCGCCTGCATTCACATGCGCTCGGCTCCTGCTCCAGGACTGCGCTGGCTCACTGTGGAGCTTGGAATGCTAGGCTTAAGTGGACTCATTTGGAGGGCGGGCGCCCAGA